ATATGTTTTGACCCCTAAACCCTTATAACTAAACCCTAATTAACCCAAAAATAAATACTATAAAAATTTTTTTTTTGAAAAAGTGACATTTTTGAAATTTTGCCACTCCAAAAAAGTGACATTTTTAAAAAAATTTCCAAAAAAAATTGGGGGAAAAAAGGATATTCACCCTAGGGAATTGAGAGGAGACATGAGTGGCATCAAAATCCAAAAGAGGAGAAAGTACAATCACCATAAATTCCAAAACAAAAGTAGAAGAAAAACATGGAGATGACGAAGGGACAAGTTACATCCATTAAAATTCACAAGGCAAAAACATCTTAAACCCTACTTTTGTTCCTTGCCTTGTCTACATCCTCCTCTTTAACCCTTTCTCTCCTTTTGTTTCCATCCCAAATAACTCTCATGAGTTTTCAAATCAACATACCCCAAATTTTTCGATCGACTATTTTTTTGGGTCGTTTTGTCTTATATATCGCATCCGTTTGTCGTGTTTATTAATGTGTATCTACTTTATCTGATCAATAAATATTTTGGTCACTATGGAATTCACATGATAACTGTAACCAGTGAATATTATATATTTTCGATCGATCTAACTTACATGATTACAAATAAATATTTGTGGTTTGTATGCGAAACATTTAGGATATTGATGAACAAATGCAACCAAATCTCTATATATATCAATAATCCTACATATGGAGACCACTTTTTCGTCACGATCGACGGAGACCACTTTTGATGTGTAATTTATATATAAAAAATAAAAATTCATTTAATTTACACAAACTTATAAGCCTTGTATATTAATTGCTAAGTACACATATAGGTCTAAGTTTGAATGTTATATGGATCATGTCAAAATTAATGACCTATTTATCAAAGGTATATATGTGCTACATATTAACTTGTGAGATATGAATGTGTGAGGACCAGGTGTACATCCATATGGACATTACAAGGCCACAACTCTCAACATTCTACCACACAAAGATCAATTTTGATTTATCTGTAATTTTGTCCATTTCCATTTTTTTTTTTAGTTTTCTCATTTAAATTAGTTGTTGGAAATACTTCTCACATTTAAAGAGTGCAGCCAAATGACATGCATGCATGCAATTAAAACGACAAAACCAAAATAATACAGTATGTACTAAAATGTATATATATTGTGATTGTGTGTGAAAGCCACAACTCTTGTGCGACTCAAACAACTTACTTTACGTCAACATTTGCTCTATTAGTTTCAAAAAGAAAAAACACTTGCTCTATGTCACTACAAGAAAACATATCAGTTTTTGATTATTTTTTTTGTGATCAAAACTATTTTGATCATTTTCAACTAATTTTAGACGAATGTTTATTTTCGTCATAAATTGGTCAAGAAAATATGATGAAATAAAAGAGTCAAAAATTGGTCAAAATTTTTGAATTTTTAACGGATTCGTAAATTTATTAAAAAATGGTCAAAAACTTGCGACAAAGAAGATTGGTTGAAAATTGGTCAAGAAAATATGTTAATTTTTTACCAAATTTTTTACCAATAAATTGGTCAAAATGTTTGTTGACAAATTTTCGAMMAAAAAATTATGAAAATTTAAACTCGTCAAAATATGATCAAATTTTTTTTTACTAATACAAGTGGTCAGTAAATAGTCAAAATATTCTTACCATTTATCGACTAAAATAAAATTTGATCAAAATTTCGTAAATAATTTTTGACGAATAAATACTTGACAGAAATTGGTCACAACATTATCGACCAWATATTRAGGWGAAYACTTCTATTGTATTTRTCCCAYATCGCYRATATGRGAGGGATGAAACTTTGACTTTCACTATAAAATAACACTTACTCCATTGTKAAAAACGTAAATGGRYTTCATGRYCCAAATAGTTRAATTTTRAAATATTTTAATCGCTGATTGAGTATATATTTTGAAATTATTATGAATCAAATATTTTAAATTTGAATTTTTAAATATATTTTTGAAATACTTTCTATTTTTTTAAATATTTAATTTTAATTATTATGAATAATATTTTAAATTTGAATTTCCATATTTTCGAATTGATCAAAATATATTTCTAAAATTTAAATATCTAAGTTGGTCAAAAATTGGTTAGAATATATTGTCTAAAATTGGTCAAAATATATAGTTCCGGCCATTTTGATTGATCAAAAAAATTTGATGATTTTATTGGTCAGAATCAAAATTTTGACCACTTTGTTGGTCAAACCAAAATCTTGACCATTTTTATTGGTCAAAACGTTTTGACTATTTTGTGACCAAATTCTATTTGCGACCACCGATTTTTGACGAATCGATTTTGGTCAAGTACTAGTCAGAAATAATTGTTTTTGATCAATTTTAGACCAAATTGATTGTCAA